GCTCCAGAAACACCTCTGAGCCACGAACAAGCTTCATGTGACGTTTGAATCCACCTCCTGCCTCAGAACATCCAGAAACGAGACGTACATTCAGAGTGTGAGGGTCGGAGGTCGACTCCGAGTCAGTCCGGCTGTTCCTCCATCAGCGAGCTCAACTAACTGAAATCAGCTTGTAGACCAGAACCGGTCGGTGGTTCTGGTCTACGAGCTGATTTCAGTTATTTACAGTTTTTACCTGTTTTTCTTTTTCCTTTCCAGTCAAACTGTTTTTATGTGATTTCAGTAAATATTTAATTTAACAAAACAGTGAGAAATAGTTTTTAAAATTACATTCAAACGTGTTAAAAATTATACATTTGTCCACATTAAACCATTTTTTGACAGATTTTTGGCACCTTTGCTGACAGACTTTCACCCTTTTATAGAATCTGTTTTCCAGCTGACGTGATGGAGCTCCAGGTCGTCTCAGAAACGTCTCTGAAACGTCTCTGAAACGTCTCCAGATAGAACCACAAAACTGGTCTTTTCCTCCGAGTAACGAGAGACGATCTGATTTAAATCCTCTACAAGCTCACGGCTGGCAGCAGAGAGGTGAGGAGTCACGCCTGGCTGGACGCTCGCTTCGTTTCAGGGTTTCCTCCGAGAGACGAGTCCAGAAGAAGAAGAAGAGCAGCTGAGGTCGGCGGCTGGAGGAAAGTTTAGGATGACGCAGGAACATCCATCTTTCAGACTCCGGCTGCTCAGAAACCAGCAGCTCGACTTCAGAACTCCTGCAAACGTCCCACCAGAGGCCCAGAACAAATGCTCCACAAGTTTCTGACCTATTTTACAGCTCGGCGTCCTGGAAGACGGTTTAAATAAATCACAGAAGAAGAAGAAGAAGAAGGAGCTGAAGGAGAGATGTGAAGATGTGATCTGACGGATTATCAAGAAGGTTTTTCTGACAAACTGGAGAAAAAGTCCAACGAGAAACAAAACACATGACGACAGTTTAAACCCACGTTTATCGTCAGTGTCAGTGTTTTAACAGGAAAAGTCAGGAACTGGACTTTTATTGTGGAAAGTTGTGCATGAGGTTGTGATTTTTAATTATTTAGCATCATTCACGGCGTCTTCGCTGCTGAGACGTTCCTGCAGTGCCTCACTGAACTGCTTCCTCCTGATACTTCTGACCAGAAACGTCCATTAAACCCAACAAATGAACCCCAATCAGCAGCAGAACTGATTTTCTATTTTTATTCTCAGTTATTGTCGTTGTGGCTGAAACCTCGTTGGGTTCACGCAGGAAGAAAAAAAAACAAATAAACGCAGCCGGACAACGTTCATGATCACGTTTGGTTGGATTCGTCCTTTGAGAAACTTGACTCCTTCTCTCCACGGTGGTTTTATTTTATGTTTCCATCCTGTGGTTGTTGTTGTTTTTGTTGTTGTTATGAACACTGTCGTCTGTTTCCATCGTCCAGTTCATGTCTTAGATTTTATTTAACACCTTTATTCTCTTTTTAAAATAAATCTACTAATTTATTTCCTGAAAAATGACCAAAAACTGACGACAAAGATGCAGAAAATGACTAAAGAAGGATCCAACCTGACGACAGGAGACAGAATGAGAGAAAAAAGAGGCCCAAAACAGAAATAAATATAATTATTACAAAATAAAACGTGTCGTAATGCCATTAAATATGTCTTTACACGATAAAATAGATCCTAAATACGTCTACAGTTCATAAAATAAGTCTAAAATACTATAAAATTGATTCATTTTGAAAATCTTTTACCGTGTTTCACTTTATTTCTGCGCTTTCAAAATAAAGTTATTATTATTATTGAGTCTGTATGACTTTATGTGACAGAAATCTCTGCAATTTAATGTAATTTTTGACCATTTAACACAAAAACAATATTCATGATGTCGACAAAAAAAACACACCAGAAAAAAAAGTGGTTTAAAAAAAAGGCTCTTTTTTTAGTTTTTATTTTGAAGTGGTGATTTAATTCAGCTCCGGATAAACATCAAAACGTCCTTTTGACCATAAAACTACTGATTAGACTCAAGAATAAAACAACATGTATTGCATTAGTTTTGTTAAAATCTCTTTCTGCATTCATTTATATTCATTTTGAATCTGTTTTTACTGATTCGGGTCTTTTTGTTGTTGTTTTGTGTCTTTTTTCAGCCTTTTTAAATCTTGTAATCTTTGTTTTTTGTCTTTTTGCCTTCAGTCAGGACGTGTTTGTGTCCATCGTGCATCTCTTTGTGTTCGGTTTTGTCCCTCTGTCACCGTTTTGTGGCTCTTTGTGTTCGTCTGGAGTCGTTTTGTGCGTCTGTGTCGTTGGTTTGCATCAGTTTAGCCTCTGATGACAACTTCTGAGGATTTAATCTTTGCTCTGCAAATTTTAAATGACTTGATAATTGGCAGAATAAACCCAAGTCTCTAAACACTATTATTATTATTATTATTATTATTATTATAATACTAACGATGTTCAGGTTCAGGAGGACACAGACTTGCTGTTTCCGTGCACAGACGTCATATCGACACACAAATTCTCTTTTTCTGTTTTATAGAAACTGGAGCTCAGGAACTCGTGCACGCCGCCGTGCACGCTCCTCCCAGGCTATTACAGTCTGACGGCACATTTGAGTGTGGAGTCGGTGGGATTGACAGCCGAGCTGAAAATAGACGTGACGACGGAGGGATGGAGGAGAATGTTGAAATCAGAGCAGAGCTGATAACTTTACAGTCGGTCCAGTGTTTCAGGCAGGTCTACAGAGCCGAGAGGAAGAGTTCACGTCAACCAAACCGCCTCTACCATCCTCCGTTTATAGTAGAGCTGCAATTAACGGCTGAATTATGTGTTAAATTCTCTCACATTCATCAATTAAAGACGCAAAACTGACTGAAATAGACGCAAAATGAACACGAGCAGAAGCAAAACCAACACAAAGAAAAATAAAATGACCTCAAACAAACACAAAGAGCCAGAAAACAGCAGCAAAGACACACAAAGTGACAAGAAAAGAAATAAATGTACAACAGAGACGCAAAGTGAACACAAACAGAAACTGATTTAATACAAGCAGTGACAAAAATCACACAGCAGGACAGGAATAGATGCAACGTAGCTGCAAAGATGCACAAAACAACCACAAAGAGACTTCAGAGAATCAGTCAAAAAAAAGATGGAAAACGAACATAAATAAAAGTAAATTGACCACAAAGAGACAGTAAATGTCCAGAAAAAGATTAGAGTGGAACAAAGGAGACACAAAAACAACAGAAACACGTGAAAAACCATCACAGACAGACAAGAAATAACTAGAAACAGACACCAAGGAGACACAAAATGACCACAGACGGATGCTAATTCAATACAAACAGAGATAGAACCACACATAAAGGATTATTAGATCCAAAGTGGCTGCAAAGTGACACAAAACAACCACAAAAAGACTGAAAAAGAGACCTAAAATAAACACAAATGAATGTAAAATAACCAGAGAGAGATAAAAAGTGACTAAAACAGATGCAAACTGAACACAGCAGATTAAACCACTGCTTCAACACACATTCATAGATCCAAAACTCCCACAAAGAGACACAAAACATTTAAAAATAGACGCAAAATAAACAAAAGCACGACACAAAATGACCACAAAGACACAAAAAACACACAAACAAATACGAAAAAGATGCAAAATGAGAAAAATGACCAGAAAACTGGATTCAAAGATGCTGACGATGACTAAAGAGAGATTCAACCTGACTGAAGGAGACACAGAACGAACAAACCACGAGGCGCAAAACGGCCGCAAACAGAAAGAACAGCACTTTAAAAAGGAAAACATGTTTTAATGCCATAAAACACGTCTTTACACTAAAAAACACGTCTAAAATACGTCTAAAAGCTCTAAAATAAAGAATAAAATACGTCTGTGATACGTCTTAGAGCTATAAAATATGTCTAAAACATGTTTTAACGCTATAAAATACGTCTAAAATACATGTTAGGACTATGAAATACGTCTAAAATACGTCTTAATGCTACA